AATGAGGCTGTTTGGAGTTGAGGCATTAGACTTGATCATCTGAAATAATTTTCTTTGCTCTGCCACAGACTGCATAAGCTCAAGTAAATAAATCCCTGGGCCTCAGTAACTTTGTCTGCTAGACCTCATGTTGAGATTAAATTAAGGTCTTCAAGAGCAAAGCCCATCCTTTTACAGTTGTACAGTGACAGCATATAAAAGAGAGCTGTGACAATTATTTGAGACTTATTAGTCTATAAAAGTCCATGTTCGAAGTCCACGTGGAGAAGTTGTACTTAGCTGTTGATCAATGTGATATGGCCTAATGTATTCTGATATTTTTATCAACTAACAAATATTAAGCAACTGGACCAAGAACATCCAGTTCTGATGACATGATAGAATCTATGTGCTTTGAATCAGTATTTTCCATTTCTGTGTTTTGTTTTTAGATTAATCTTGGAAGCAACCAATATCTTTTCTCAGTTGTTGTGGATCCCAAAGAAATGCCCTGCTTCTGCCTGAGGCACGACGTTGATGCTCTTCTCTGGCAGCCCCGCTCTGACCAGCCAGAGAACATGTGGGAGCACATTGCAACTTTTAATGCTTTAGGTACGAAATGAATTTCTGCATCACAGTTCTCTGCCTGAGACTGTACTGCTCATGTACTTTCAGCATGGCTTCTGTTGATACTCAATTTAATTAATTTTGGGTTGAAGGGTACTATAATTTTGATAAGAAAGTGCTAGCTTAATTTTTACAAATATTACAACTTGAGAGATAGAGAATGCTTATGCCTGGAGAGGAAGATAAGCCTTCTGAGAAAACATACAGGATGCAGGCCCAGTCCTGGAAAGTATTTTATTATTATTTTCTTAAAAAAGAAAAAGGAAAATTTCTGAGATTAAGCTACTTGAAGTTTTTTTTTTTTTTAAGAGCACAACTAATAGCTAAATATTTGCACAGAAATAATCAATAAAACACTTGCAGTTCACTGATGACAGGTCTAGATGTCCACTGGTCCTCATGTTGAGATTAAATTAAGGTCTTCAAGACCCCATCCTTTCACATTCATATTTCTTTAACATATATTTCTTTTTTTCTTTTAACAAATTGTTATTTTGAACCTAAGCTTCATTTTGACATAGCGGTTAGACAAGGTACTTAAAACGCTATATCGTTTCTCTCTTTTTCTGTGTATCTTCTTGTGCTCTGCAGGCTACGTCCAAGCATCAAAGCAAGACAAGAAGTTCATGGCTTGTGCCCCGAATCATTCCTACGCCGCCCTGTGCGAGTGTCTGCGTCGGGTCTTCATCTACCGGCAGCCGGCGCCGCTGCCCACGGTCCTCTACAACAGGAAGGAGGGGAGGCAAGTGGGGCAGGTCGCCAAGCAGCTGGTGGCCACCCTGGAAGCCAGCGATCCTATCCTAGGCTTTCAGGCTACAAATGAGAGATTGTTTGTTCTCACAACAAAAACCCTGTTTTTAATAAAGGTAAACACTGAAAACTAATTATTTAGTATGTTCTGTTGTAGTTTGTGTTCACAGGGGGAGAAGAACTAAGTAGGTAAATTATCTGAGAAGTTCATGATGAAACTTAAAAGGAAATGGAACGTTTTACAGGGGAATCATTTTTTTTCTCTAGAAAGCTCTTCAACTTTGCTAGCACTGAATTAAGCCTTTGGAGTTCTTCAGAGACCAGAAAAATTCTCTTTGCTATCAGCTTTCCTAAAACTATTTTTAGAGGCTGATCCTGCATAGGCAAATAAGTTTATGCTCTTTTTTGCATTGTTCTTTTCCAAATAATTGTACTTGCCACACTTCTGAATTTTAAGAATTCATTTCTCCAATTGCCACTGCTTTCCTCTGAAGGAAGTATTCAGATAAGGAAATAAATTGAATTAGAAGCATATAATGTGCAAAGTGCATCATAAAGAAAAATTTCCAAATTCAAATACAGTTGGTCAGAGATGATGGACTGTTTCAGTATTCAAAGATATTGAATGGAATAATATATTTTTTGTGCAGGTATTGGATTCAAGTGGAATAATTACATTTTATATTCAGATTTTTGATTTTTTTTATTGTTCTATGACTTACTCATACTTGCAGTGGAATCTCTTTTTATTTTAAGAGACACTGTTACAGCTTTTCCTAACTCTTTCTTAAAGCAGAAGTAAGAATCAATGTATAACTGGTGGTTATACATTGTGTAGTACAGGGCAAGGTCTAGTTATAATCTCAGTTTTCACTTTCATCGTAGGTTGTACATGACTAATTTGCAACTTGAAAATGGCTAGTGGAAAACACACCTGTATCTAAACCTGAGATCTGAACTCCTCAAGTGCTGCCTCTGCCTTAGATACCCCCACACATGTGTTAGTGCTTAGGAAGAGATTTCAAATTGCTCTTGCAATTTCAAATCAAAAGTTCAAACTTGCTCTCTTGCAAAGGAAGAGTGTGCTGACCATGAGAATGCTCTGAAGCTTTTGCTAACAAACAGGCGTACTTAACTGCTTTAAAAGTTGTATTTGGAGATTATTTCCTGTTTTAAAGTGACAATAGCGATACAATTAAACCAAAAAGGGTCAGTTGTGACAGTTGCAGCATGTTTTTTTTTTTAAGTTTATTTTTTTACAACTCCATAGCAAAGAAACTCTTAACCAATATATTGCAGGCTACTGGAATGCTGCTGTGATTTGTAGTACCAGGGCACTGAAACAGACACAAATGCAATGAGTGACTTAGCAGTAGCATCTTTTTTCAAGACTTCAGACCTCGGTGAAAATCTGTGGAGAGGAGAAGATAGGTTCATTTTTGTGAACTGTCAGCTTTATAGTTGTGACTGCTTTGGCTCTCCTGTAAGTTCTGCAGACCTGTATCAGTGCAATGACTGAACAGGATACTGAGAATTTGCAAGGGAGGCAGCTTGTCAGCAAAAACAAAAAAAGCTCTTCAAGTAGTTTGATTTTTCCTCTTCCTGACATTCTAATGGTACAGCATAGTAGCATAGTACTGATAGCATTCAGCATAGTACTGATATTTTCCTTATTCTCACCCATATAAGTTAAAACTGACTTGAGCCCTAAACCTTCCTCCTTATTTTATCTTTTTAAAAAGACTGTCTTGAAGCTGAGCTTTTTGAAAAGACTCAAGGAAAGTGTTACTGTTCCGTGAGTGCATTGCTTCTAAATATTCATTATTGGAAAAAAAAGGTCAAACGAGGTTGTAGAATTCATGCAGCAGATCATTAGAAAGATTTTATGCAGTTAATTACTTTGCAGCATGAAGTGCATTGAGTTTCATATGAATATTATTTCATTACCTGAAATTAATCCATTGGGAACGCAGAGTGAAGAACAAGTAATAGGTTTTGGGAAATGGAGGAAGAGGGAATGAGAGATTCACAGGGAAACACGCTTTTGTCACCTTGTATCTGTCAGAGGCTTCAGGATAGATGGGAATTTCAGCTGTTATTTGTCAAATCCTGCTTGCTGTGTAATAGATACCTGGAAACAGCTTAATCTTGTGGAACAGATGAAACAAAGTCACATAAAATGGTCAGCTCTTTGGCACCTGTGTTACAGTCCACAGTGAAGAAAAAAATGCCTGAGTTCGGAGGAGTCCCTGTTTGCTCACAGGTGCAACCCAACACGCAGAAGAAGTTGCTCATCAATGGGCAATGGTGCTGGCATCCACCAAGGTTAGGTCAGGATCTGTTTTATTTTTCCTTTCTCTGTGAATCAAGAGTGCTGTATTTAAGACTTGTTGCCTTGAGGTCCGTGCATGCCATTGTGCTGCAAGCCACTGCGAGGCACTTACTGTCATCAGCATTTCCATTTCTGTGTTCACGGAATTTTAAGGCTTATTTGTCTAGCATTTTAATGCAGATTCATACAAAGAGTATGGATTATTATGTGAGTATTTAAAAGGAGTGGTTTTCTGAAAATGATAGGCTGACTTTTCTAGGATGCTGCTTCTTGAAATCTTACATGTTAAGCCACAGTACTTCCTGAGAGGCACCAATCAACTGAGATTCATTTACAGATTTTCCAAGGAACTATTTGACTATTATACATTTACATTATTTATTTCAATCATTCTTTTTCTATGTTTTCCCTGGCTGACTGCCTATTTGGAATGTATCATGTATTCTTCTACAAGTTCCAAAGGAATGGAAAAAAATGTTAAATTTCATTAATAAAGATTTTTATAAATACTTTAAAGGATTTCTGTTCATTTCAAGATTCCATCTTTCTTGTGCTATTGAAGTAAAAGTAGAAACAAGGAGTGCCTGAAAATATGACTTGATATTTTATGGAGTTCTTGGTGTTAGGATGAAGTTCTCATGGGTGCCTGCACTGCAGTGTGGTGTCTAACAGCAAGGGTTGCACTATTGCACTCCTTGTTCCTTAATAACACTCATTTTTCTCTCATGTTCCATATCTGCCAACACACAAGTTTGAAGTGTAATTACTGGAGGAGGTTGATGTGTGATCAGGTGTATCCTTGTCTTGGTGTGCACAGTGCATCCTCTGATCCCATCCTTGTTGCATGTAAAGCCCAAATGATCTTTGCAGACACTTTTTGATGGAAGAAGCAGAGAAAAACATATTTCCTTTTGCCCCCCTTCCATCAACCTCTTTGTGGAGAGGTAGAAGGAGAAATAGTCAGTGCTGGTCTCTGTTCTGTGTCAAAAAGTAGCTCCTCACTAGTGAAGCAGCAGACACTGGAGGTGCCAGCAGTGCTAATGGGTGCAGCTTGCTTACTATCAGTTTGCTCTGCTTTATTTTAGTAATGAACACTGCTGTGCTAACTTCACCAATTCTTTGCCTTCTGTCAGTTTTTATTTTACATTCTCATTATGCAAATACAGTATTAGATTTCAAAACTACAGCCAATCACGCACTGCTCTATAATAACAATCCTTTACTTGAATTACTGCTGATTACTATCCCAAAATTGCATATCACAACTTGTATATGAATCAAGTTATTGTAATCATGGTGGCAGTAATCTTAAATTCTGATTCTTAATTCAAAATTCTTCTTATTTGGTGGGAGTAGAAAATGTGCGTGATCAGTTCTGTGGTAACTGAATCTGTGATGCAGGTTTTTCATGTGCTTTTCTATCCGCAGCCTTCCCTCTTCCCCCATTTTTGTTATGGTAGCAGTACTGGTCTTGGTGGGCAGATATACATCCCTAAATTGAAATAAGAGAGATTTGTAGGTTGATTCCCCTCCTGTCAAAAGGAGTGTAGTCTTACCCTGGCAGTCCATGAAATGATAAAACCAGTACCAAAGTATGAGCTTCTTCAAATGATAGCAACCACACTTGGGCTTTTTTGAAAGGCTTCTATAGTTTAGTTTAGTTTACACATCATTTGTAACAGCTTTCTGGAAATCTGGTGAGATTGGGCGTTTTTGTTTTCCCTCTATGTAATGTATCTGAATATATGCGATGGATAAAGATCAACAGGGTCAAGAGAGGGCTTATACAGATGGGGTCTTTGACATGAAAGAATCAAATATTAACCAACTCTTCTTCAGTAATTTCATATGCAAAGTTTAGTGCTACTTACTTTGAGAACTATCTGCTGAAGTCTTTCCTTTTAAAAATAAAGGATTAAGCTGCTTCTGAAATCTTGGTTTATTTTCACAGACTTTTACCATGTTGGCATAGCTGGGGGGCATTCAGAATAGGATGATAGCTGTTATTTACAGCTTCAGATTTAGACCTGCAAATACAATGATTTTTGCAAATTTATTGCTCTTAGCATAATATTCTGTATAATCCGTTTCTTTTGTTCTTTTTGTGCTATGATGAATATACAAGTATCTGCTAGTTTTTCTTAGTGCCCTGCTTGAATTCTGGTTAGGTGAGCTTTGTGTGTGTGTGTTATGTTTTGTTTTGTTTTTTTAATCTATATACATGCACACATATATTGCCTTGATATACTGTGGAAAGATGCAGTGAATTCCAGAAAGAATATTCTTTTAATATTACTGTTGGCAAAGCGTATTTGTTAACTGAAAGTCTTTACAAAAATTTGTAGCCTGTTTATGAATAAATATATATGTAGGGAAATATTTGACCTAAAGTATGTATGTTAAATGTTCTGTATGTTAAATGTGGAGCTGGACTTGATAAAATAACTTACATTTTCACAATTAATGTGAAGAGATCCTAATTATTAGCTAGAAGGCCCCTTGGAATGTGTATTATTATTATTACTTTCCCGGTTTTCTATCATGTTTTCCTGTTGTAGGCTGTTTTCCCCTTATTTTTGTTGTTGTAATACATTGAAATGTAAATATCTGCAAGCGACTGGCATAAATGCATTGCAGCATCAGTCACGATAAACTGCCAGTCTGAGCACATCAGTTGTGAGGCCTGTGGAGTTTTTCTTCTGCTGAGGATTAAATATGTGGTTTCTTATTACTGTATGCACCAAAAATTAAACAGCTCAGAGGCCAAATATTGCACAGATGCCTTCAGTTGAAAGAGATGAT